ATATTTATTAAGACATTAATATGGGTTCTTTCCTTCACCTCCTCTAAGGATGAAGTTCTTCTCACTCGTCCTTCTCTCTGTCTTTCTCTCTCTCCTGTACACACACCACTGTGACCACAACAGCGCATGAAGATGTCAGCAGAAGTAAGTTGAGCTCCTATCCATACTGACAGGGTGTTTTCCCTCATCGGCACCGTACTGGAGCAAAATGCACTCAACACGTACAGCAGATGGAAACGACTCACAAAGCTATGTCAAAGCGAGAAAAAGAGTGAAGTGCCAAAAAGATTCACACTCGCTGATGACCATTTAACAGAATTCCTAGACTACTTTTAATTAAAAAAAGTTTGATTTTCCTCCTTTTCCTGCTGAAACAGTTATTTTGGCAAATGTGATCTCCAATTTTCATCACTGACATCCATTAAGAGCAACAGTGGCTGCACGTTTCAACCAATGAGCTTACATATCATATATGTATATGTACAGTTAGTTGTTCCAATAGCCTCTTGCTCTTGTTCTCATATACACAGTCTGCGGATTTTTGCTGCACCAGAGGCTCTTGAGAGGATCTATAGCTTTCCACCAAGTTTGCTGCTCAATGATTTATCTATAGCTCTCCTGCAAGCACCGTCCAGTGTAGTCTGCTGAACATGCTGAAGGTGTTATTTCAAAATTTATTTAAAAGCAGTAATTGGACAAGAGGGCCACAATCGCAGATCCTATCATAGCAAAATACAGCACAAGTAGCTAGATTTCAGCCTGGACTAACGCAGACTGTTCAAAGGGTTAAACTAAGAAAACGTGTTACTGGCATTAAGAAATTTGTGGCATTAATACTTAACTGCATTAGGATGTTATTAATGCTTCATTAACATGTAATCAAAGCATTATTAATGTGTTAATCAAGTTCAGACAGTATGTGCAATGCAATAAAAAAAACAGTAGATGTGAAAATGCACTATGAACTGTATTTAAACAAAAACAGTACAAACCTTCACTGTTTTGTAAATACACATTGATTGTAATATTGATGCTGCAACACATTCCAAAAAAAGTTCAGACAAGAGCAATTTCAGACTAAGAACATTGTGAAATGTTCAAAGAATACACACACACACACACACACTTATTTGCTAAAACTCTTATCCTTCTGGGTCCTTGGGGGTGCTGGAGCCTATCCCAGCAGTCATTTGGCAGAAATGTGTTTTGTGGTCTTAGGAGTCAACCTTTCAGACTGTTTATAGAAATAATCGATGCCGCGTTCTCTCGGCCATAAAGATTGTCACCAGCGAAAAGTTCAAAAGCCAGGATCTGTCATGGTATGGGATTGTAATAGTGGCCATGGGTAACCTGCACATCTGTGAAGGCACCATTAACACTGAAAAATATAGTCACCTTTTGTAGCAAAATAGGCTGCCTTCTAGACCAGTGGTTCTCAAAGCAATACCTGAGGCCCCCCAAGTCCACATTTTTCTCTAACCCAACAGATAACACATATGTGTACAGGAAAATTGTGGACTGTCTGGAGGTCCCTGAGGACCAGTCAGAGAACCTGTTTTAGACGACATCTTTTTCAGGGACATCCATGATTATTTCTATGTGAGAACGGCAAGCCGCATTCTTTATGCATCACAGCAGCATTGCTGAGTGTGGGTGCTAGGCTGGTCCGCTTGCAGTCCTGATCTGTCTTTTATTAAAAACAAGTTATGCAATATGAAATGAAAAATATGACAACAAAGTACGGTACCCTGTGCATTCATGCAGCTGAAGACATGTATAACAAAAGAATACAAAAAAATTGCTTTCAAAAGTGAATCAATCGATGTCTTTAACCCCCAAATGATAATTATGTGTTGTTAAAAAAAGTGATGTAAACATGTTCTTGTCCCAACTTTTTTGGAATATGCTGCAGGCATCCAGTTTGGAATGAGCATATATTTACAAAAAAAGACAATGCATTTCATAAGCTAAAATATCAAATCACGTTTTAGTATTGCTTTCAGGTCAAAGAAAATTTACTAATGACAGCTTTCAGTTTTTATTAGCACATCACACTGTCCTTCATAGTGTTTCACAGCCTTTTTAAATTACAGTATTTTCTGTTGCAACTGGTTCACAAAAATATTGCAATACATATTGTATATTGCGAAAATAACCTGAAGAATTGTGATAGTATCTCCACCATATAGCCCACTCTTATATTTCACATCAGCAAACACATCCTCAACACGTACAGCAGTGATGAAAATGGCTCAGATAGCTACGTAAAGTGAGAAAAAGGCTGAAGCGCCAAAAATCTCAAAGCTTCACACTCGCTGATGGCCATTTCACAGAATTCCCTGTCTACTTTTTACCGTGTGTGAGTGTGTAAGTGAAAAAAAAGGGAAAAAACGCATCATTTGGGCCACATTAGAGAGTCCTGCTGTAGAGAGAATTCATTAAAATAAGTGAAGGGTGTCAGAGTTAGTTTGCTGTTGATAGTTTGGCCGTCATTAAGCCGGCTTGTTTACAGAGGCTGAGAAAAAGTGTGAGGTATCGAGCTTTTTACGCCAGTGTGATGTTAATAATGCAGATAATTATACTTCTCCACACTGTGTGTGTGTGTGTGTGTGAGAAGGTAGTGCTGGAAGTGTGTTGACAGATCACACACCACTAGTATGCGCTGGTGGTAACTGACAGCGTAGCGTGTGTGATATGACACATGCAGACAGACAGACAGGTAGTAGTCTATCAAATTTCAGTAAAACAAAGCATTTACTTCAGGCTAGGGTTTTTGTGTGCTTTTGGTCTTCTTGTCTGACCTGTGTGCTGCTTTATGTTTGAGCTGATTTATTTCTATGATTTAGGCAGCAGTGTTCACGGGAAAATTGCCCAGGGTGTGTGTACTGTACAGGCATACATACAGTGGTGTGAAAAAGTGTTTGCCCCCTTCCTAATTTCTTATTCTTTTGCATGTTTGTCACACTTAAATGTTTCAGATCACCAAACAAATTTAAATATTAGACAAAGATAACACAAGTAAACACAAAATGCAGTTTATAAATGATGGTCTTTATTATTAAGGGAAAAAGAAATCCAAACCTACAGGGCCCTGTGTGAAAAAGTGATTACCCCCCATAAATTAACTGTGGTTTATCACATCTTTGGAAGGCTGAGTTCAATTTGCCTAGCCACACCCAGGTCTGATTACTGCCACACCTGTTCTCAATCAAGCAATCACTTAAATAGGACCTGCCTGACAAAGTGAAGTAGACCAAAAGATCCTCAAAAGCTAGACATGCTGCGATCCAGAGAAATTCAGGAACAAATGAGAAACAAAGTAATTGAGATCTATCAGTCTGGAAAAAGTTATAAAGCCATTTCTAAAGCTTTGGGACTCCAGCAAACCACAGTGAGAGCCATTATCCACAAATGGTGAAAACATGGAACAGTGGTGAACCTTCCCAGGAGTGGCCGGCTGACCAAAATTACCCCAAGAGCGCAGCGACGACTCATCCAAGAGGTCACAAAAGACCCCACAACAACATCCAAAGAACTGCAGGCCTCACTTGGAGAATGTCCGGCCATCTGTTCATGACCTCAAGCTGAAGCGCACTTGGTTTCTGCAGCAGGACAACAATCCAAAACACACCAGCAAGTCCACCTCTGAATGGCTTAAGAAAAACAAAATTAAGACTTTGGAGTGGCCTAGTCAAAGTCCTGACCTGAATCCGATTGAGATGCAGTGGCATGACCTTAAAAAGGCGGTTCATGCTCAGAAACCCTCCAATGTGGCTGAGTTACAACAATTCTGCAAAGATGAGTGGGCGAAAAATTCTCCACAGCGCGGTAAAAGACTCATTGCCAGTTATCGCAAACGCTTGATTGTAGTTGTTGCTGCTAAGGGTGGCCCAACCAGTTATTAGGTTTAGGGGGCAATCACTATTTTCACACAGGGCCCTGTAGGTTTGGATTTCTTTTTCCCTAAATAATGAAGATTTTCATTTATAAACTGCATTTTGTGTTTACTTGTGTTATCTTTGTCTAATATTTAAATTTGTTTGGTGATCTGAAACATTGTTTCGTGTGTGACAAACATGCAAAAGAATAAGGAATCAGGAAGGGGGCAAACACTTTTTCACACCACTGTATGTGTGAGACTTCAGCAACTGTGCTCCCGAAAAAAACAAGGAGACTCAAGATGCACTGAAGTGAGAAAGAGCACAAGAGAGAGTGAGAGAGAGTAAAAGAGAGGGAGAAGGAGGGAGAGAGAGAGAGAGAGAGAAAGAGAGAGAGAGAGAGAGAGAGAGAGAGAGAGGGAGCATAAGAGCAAGAGAGAGAGAGTAAAAAAGAGGGAGGGAGGGGGAGAGAGAAAGAGAGAGAGAGAGAGAGGGAGGGAGAGAGAGAGTAAGAGCAAGAAAGAGAGCAAAAATAGAGAGCAAGAAGGAGAAAGAGAGAGAATCAGAAAGAGCAAACAAGAAAGCATGAGAGAGAGTAAGAGAGAGCGAGAGAGAGAGAGGCGGGGTGGGAGAGAAAGAGAGATAATGCAAAAGAGAGAGATAGAGTAAGAGAGAGAGAGATTAAAAAAGCGAGCGAGAGACAGCAAGAGAGAGCAAAAATAGAAAAAGCAAGAGGGAGAGGGAGAGAGAGGGAGAGGGGGAGAGAGAGAGAGAGAGAGAGAGAGAGGCAGGGTGGGAGAGAAAGAGAGAGAGAAATAGATAATGCCAGAGAGAGCAAAAGAGAAAAAGTGAAAGAAAGAGAGAGGGAGAGAGGGGGAGAGAGAGAGAGAGAGAGCGAGAGAGAGAAAGAGAGAGAGAGTGAAATGAAAAGTGGGAGTGGATAGAAGAGCTTTCTACTGATACACACACAGTGTTTTAAGTTGGACTGCTGCCAAACACTGGGCCTGACCACACACACGCGTGGCCCTCTCACTCAACTCCACTAAACCCTCTCTCACCCTGCATTTCACCCTCTCTCTGTCTCTCTCTCTGTCCTCCCCTCCCTCTTGTCCCCTCACTCACCCGTATGGGGATGCGCTCCGTCTCTCGCTCCTTCTGTGGGTTGCGGTACTTCTCGTAGAAGTCTTTCTTCTTTTTTCCCTCCCTCTCCTCCTTGCGCTCTCGTTTTTCTGCAGGCTCATCTGAGGTGTCCGACGCACTCTGCTCAGCTTCTGGAACCTTCTCCACCTCCAGGAAGTTTTCATTGGGGTTCAACACGATCACTCCATAACCCTCCTGGGACACAAACAAACAAGCAAAATAGTGGGAAAATAGTAAACAAACAGGAACAATACTCCAGAGCTGCATACGCTTCTCTGTGTGAATTTACATGTTAGTGAGGTGCCAAAATAAAGCAGCACACATAAAGAGCAGAGTGACCAGAGGACTGAAGCCATATAGAGAGAGCAGAGTCAGGCCTTAGATCAGAGAGCAAGAGAGAGAAGGGGAGAGAGACAGAGAGAGAGAGAGAGAGAAGGAGAGAGAGTATTTTTTATTTGAAGGATAAAATCACTCACGGAAATACATACTCTAACAGTGCAGTGCTGTATTTCTGTGGAACTACACAGCTGTGGATAGGACTGTTTTTACAGTAAAGCTACACAGGGCTACATTAATTCCTCTATGAATTCTCTATTAATCCTTGTTAGACTAGGACAAGGCTTTATGTAACAAACAAACAAACAAACCACTTTTACTTACAAAATTGCTTTTTTATTAAAATTTTAATTTTTCAAAATTTCTGCTAAATTCATCTTTAAGATGTAAACAAAGTCAATCAGAGTGGTTTGATCTGAAATCTTCAATTCTAGAAAAACTCTTGGTTAGAAAAAACAATTCAGAATTGTTCACAGTGGTGGTGATAGGAACCAGTTATCTGAAGTTTTAATGCCTCAAAAAGCTACATTACAGAAAGTTACTACATTAAAATAGACAAAATTTGACAGCATTTTTGAGATAAGCTTTTGGCCTAGTTTTTTTTAAAACAAGATATATGTAGGGTGCTTTAAGGTAAAACAGAACCCAAAAAACCTTCCTTTTCTGGATTTACACCTATTTTACCATTATTAACATTATGTGTACGTTCACAGGTCATTCTGGATAGTAAATAAAATTGTGTTGTAGACACTGTGACCCCCACTGCTATCACCATCACTGTGAAGTTTTTTCTACAATAAATAACTTAACATCAAACCACTCTGAATGACTTTGTTTACATCTTTAAGACAGAATTACGCAGGAAATTTGGAAGAACTGGTGGAATTCCCCTTCAATTCAAGATTAAAACCTCAAATAATATTTGTATTTACTTTTATATATTATTAATGTTTATAGGTTTCATGAAATATAGGTTTCATGAAATTTTGGTCATGCTTCATGTGCTGCTGTCAGGAACTCTGAGACAGAAGCAAATTATCCAAATTATCCATGTTGAAGTGTACTCTAAAAATAGCCAGACACACTACGTTTAAAGGAAAATTAATTAAACAAGCATTATGTGTTGATTAAAGATTCTAATATGATAACATGGCAGGGTGTGCTAACAATTAAAGAAAGTAAAACAAATCCAGAAGTTTGATTAAGAGGAAAAAAGGCATAACAACAAAACGTAAACACTCTGATCCTACAGATCACTATATCACACTATGTTTAGAAGAGAGCATTTAATACAGGACTGTGCATGGCAGCACACAGGCACCCTACAGAGTCACTCTACACTCTTTCTATCTCTCTGTGTGAAAAGAAAGTATCTCTGTAAATCGCTTTTACCAAGAGTTCACCCTCCATCACGACTAAGAAATTTTACCATCAAACCTCAGTGGGAGATATTACTTGCAAATGACTGTAGCAGAAACTGTGCACTAAGCATAGCAAACTATAAACTAATATTTAAATCTGCTTTTTTTAACAAGAAAAACACAAAATTAGAAAAAGTTGTATACAAACACATCAGTTTTAATTAAGCTAATAAATATAAAATATGTGAAACAACAACACCTAGTTTTAGTGCACCGCAAAATTACCTAGATTTACACAAATAAATGTCATTTCTACAGATCATCTACATAAATACGACATGTATGAACTTCTCTTAAAGGTTGTGCGCATATTTAAATTTTAAAGTCGCACGCAGTTGCAACAAACAATGGCAACAAAGCCAGTGTCATTTTCAAGGGGCTAATTAAAAATTAAGCATCTGTCAATAACTTACAATCATAATTAGATCACATGATGAAGCGCAGACAAAGCACTTTCACATTCTAATCAATACAAATAAACTCCTGCTGCCCTCCTGGTCTGTCTGCTGTGCAAGTGCAACTAATAAAACAAGAATTACAACTAATAAAGCTGTTACGCCGTCCAAAAATAATAATCAAATATTACAAACTGCTCAATTAAATTTGAGTGATAATTGAGTAAAAAACAGTAGAGCATAAATTAAAAGGCAGCAAAAAAATTAATAACAATAATTAAAAAAATAATAATAACTTTCCCAGTAATTCTGTTAACTGGACATACAGCAAAATCAATTCGGTAACTTTAATTCACTTTGCAGATAAAAGAACTCCTTATCTAATCCAGTTACCTTATTTTCTTTCTCGTATTTAACCCTTTAAGCTGGTCCAGGCTTCCATTCCTCACACAACAAAAAGCCAGTTTGTATTGTTTTCAATGTAGTTAATGAATAAAAATGCTTTAGTATGAAATAAGCCTAGAAATTTAATGGGTTGAATCTGATATTCACATCCATCACAGCAGTACTAAATTCACCATGAATCAGTATGTATTCAGAGGGTTCTTTTTTCCTGGTTAAGCCGAGTATGTGTTGGCCAGGCTGAGTCTGGCTTTGTGGTTGTGCTTGGTGGTGAAGCAGGCTGAGTGGAGCTTAGTGCCACTGCCCACTGGTGGTAGGCGAGATAAATGACTGGTAAAGAGACAGACAGTCTGTACTGCACCAGCCATGCTCGTTTTCTCTCTCTCTCTTCCGCTGCCCACCTCTCCAATGGCTGCCTTTCCCGAGCTAGCTCCACGAGCTGTCTGGTCAAGCAGAAGGAGAATGAAGTACGGCCGGGCCTTTGCCCAATAGAGTTTTGCTGCACCAGGGGGCTGCCCTGCTGCCTCAGCGTTTCCCACACCCACACAGAGGGGTGAGCCTGCTCCGACTCATCCACGTACAAGCAGCTCTTTCAGAAAAAAATCGCAGTTATCATGAAATCAAGAGTCAGAAAGATACAGGAGCTGAGAAAAATGTACAATTAGGTTTTGCTAGTGAATAGCTTCAATGTGTGGTGTTACTACAATTAAAATGATTTTTTGTTTTATTTATTTCACTTTATTATTATTATTATCATGGGTTTATTTACAATAATCAAGCAAATAAAAAAGATTTATTTCATCCATTTTCTGCCAATAATCTTCAAATTTAAACTAATTAAATAATTCATATTTTAATTGATTTTAAGCTCATTTTAGAATCAGTACATCCTAAATGATTACTAAAGCTGAGCATACGATAACATAAAAAAATACCCCAAAATAAATAAGCAAATAAAAATATTAGTAAATAAATAAATGAATGAACAAATAAATAAATAAATATTGTGATGCTGTAAGAATTGAGGTTTTAATGCCATTCTATGTGCAAGAGAAATATAGTGTGAAATTCTAAGTCTCTTTCTGTTATTATGGCTGTATGGTGTGTCGGGCTCTTCCCATGCCCCCCGTGCCCTGGGTGGCACCTCCTCATGGGGCAGAGGTAGCAGGCCCTGGCCTCTGGGCCAATGGTCAGCCTGGGTCAGTGCGGCCCCTCACTGGGGCTCAGACCCCACTAACCCGCCACTGGACGCCCTCTTAAGCACTCTTTTGTCCGCCTGTCTCAAACCAGCCGACTCCCTTCACACAGTGCCACAATGGCCGCCGAGCTCCTTCATCTTACTGAATCTGACTGACTGACAGCGCGCTGACACCCGGGCAAATATTCACACCGCCATCTGGAATTATGACAAAAAAACATTCAACCATAAATGAACCATATTTTAAAAAAATAGAGGGCAAGTAAAATTCTTAGTGAGAGCAAAGCAATTAAACAAAAAGCAATGCTGTTTTTATTGTATATTGTGCACAATGTGTACAACGCATACAATTTCTACTGATGCTTAAGAATAAAGGTGCCAGAGAAGGGTTCTTTGGAGCAAAACCACTTTTAGTTCCCTAAAGCACTTTTCAGCTGATGGCTCTTTAAATAATCATTTTTGTAAAGTGTGGAGAACCTTTTTAAAGCTTAAAGAACCTCCACTTCAATTAAGCGTTTTTTCCTAGAATCGTGTGTCAGAGCCAAAAACCACTTTTTTAAATATAAAAAATATAAATAAATAAATAAAAATAAAAAATAAACCATCCAACATAAACACACACAGACAATGCCTCTACGGCTTGAGTGATTTAGACGGTAAGTACAGTAATGATGGTCTGAGCCCATTTAGAGTCAGCACTAATAAATCTACCTTAAAGCACAGCAGAGCTGTCCAATCCTCCAGTCAGTGCTGCTGAAAAGAGACGTGCTTATTAATATCGGGCCTTCAGCGCCACTCTGACAGACAGCGCGGTGCTTCAGCTATTTGTGGCTCTTTGTTTAGCTTTGAAGTGAGAGAGAGAGTGTGTCTCTCTCTTTGTATGTCTCTCTCTATGTCTCTCCCTCTGTCTTTTTCTCCCACCCTTCCTCTATAGTTCTATCATCCTCTGACGAGCGACAGGCTTGTGCTGCTTCGGGTCAGACAGAGAGGACGGCACTCGACAGGTCTAAAGCATGCTCGATGGCAGTCAGGAGTGGACGTTACGTGTGAAACTGTGCATGTATGTGTGCGTTTTTTTCCCCACTACCCTTGTTCAGAGACTCTATGTAGGGTATCTGAGGGACGCATTGTGAGGGAGAGTGTGTGTGTGTTTGTTCTCTGATCAAAGCTGAGGTGGATCATGTCTCCATATTGAGGGCGATGGACAGACCCTCCATTATCGCACAGCTTTGGTCTGTCTGTGCATCCAGCTCTCTGATTGGCTGTCTTCCCCTTGTAAGCCCAGGGCAGGAGAGCTCCACCAATCAGAAAGAAGGAGGCAGCGAGGACAGGGTGATCCGATTGGAGGCTGAAGTGTGGATAGAGGATCCGCGGAGGGCTCTATTCAGACTGCAAGTATTCAGCTATTCGCTAACGCCTTGCATAGTGTCCTTTATGAGGAAA